TAAATAACAGAGACTAGGCACATTCCTATGTAATCACGGGGAAACTGAAATGCCTTTAAAGCCATTCCAACCTTTTCGTACTAATGCACTATTAGAGAAGGGCATTGGCCGGGTGCAGTGGCTCATGCCTGTAATTCCAGCACTTTGGGAGGCTGAGGAAAGCAGATCACTTGAGCCTAGGAGCTCAAGACCAGCCTGGGCAACATGGCGAGACCCCATGTCTATTTTAAAAATAAAAACTAAAAGAAGGGTATTAAATTCATCTATGTCTACCAAAGGTTGTCCTCTCCAACAACTATACCAAAGGCTTCACATACGACCACTTTTAACATTTCCTGAACACACTAAAAGCTCTTAGAGTTGTTCTGTTTTCATTTTGGTCTTTAAATGATTTTCTAATTAGTGTGCTAATCTTACTTTCTAAAGCTTTGGGGTTAAAAAACTATTGATGAAGCAGCTAATGAAACTCTGACTCAGGTAACATAATTGAACATGCCAAAGGACATAATTTAATTCCCAAATTCTCTTAAGTAGCCACTCTGTCTACAACTTAAGCCGCACGCTGAGAAGCTTGTTATTTGAAACTGGTCAAAGTATCCGTTTAGAGAAGATCCTAGGTTCCAACTTTTGAGACCTCATAAAACTTCAATCACATTATGTAAAATATTTTATCTCACTCTATTTATAGTGATGCAATCTCTTAACTCTAGTCCAATCAGACTTCAGTCCAATCACCCTAATAATAGAGTTCTATTTAAAAGTCATTACTGAAGCAATGAATCTGAAGTAATAAATGAGCACCATATTATAGGAACCATTTTTAAACTGAATGAGCTTGCAAATTTAGACACAACCTATTTCTCTAAAAGTTCTACATATAGAGACATCTAAGTTTTATTTCTGACTGCCACTATCTTTTAAAAATAACCAAGGTTGAATCCCTTGACATCCTAGACCCATGGTATAAGGGGAAGAGGGTAGAGATCAAATAGTGCTGGACAAAAAGACCTAGATTATAACCCCAGCTCTGCAGGTCACTGAGGAGAAAGTCACAGAGCTTTTCTGAGCGTCAAGTCTTTCTTCATGGAAACACAAGGGTTCCTGCACCCTCCCAGAGTTGCTCGGAGCAGTAAATAAGCTAAATGAAAATAAACTTTTATAAAATAAAATTTAATTCTTAGAACTGATATAATAAATATCACCACTATTCTCTAGCAAATCTTACTGGAAAGTCTCCCAAAAACAAGTCAAGCATGTCAGAAGTGATATTTAATAAAATGTGTTTAAGTTCACTACTGAAATTCTCCCCGTTAATGGACAAATAGCATATTTGCAGCAGTTTCTTCTCAGCAAGGCAAAGTTGCTGAAAAGTAATTTCTTTTGCTAAAATAAAAAGTCTCATAATTTCAATTAAGCAGTTGTACAAATATTAAGAGTAACCAACAGAGAGAGATAAATCTTATTGCTTCAAAATTCTTTCACCAATTTTTGTTCTCTACTATTAAACTAGTTAGCTGACTCCAAAAACAGGCTCCACAAAGGCTCTTCTGAAGAGCACCAGGTCTGTCTCATATACTTAGACCAAAAACACACCTAGTTATCATTAAGTGTTATACCATATGCTACCTCATTACACTATACACACTTGTATGCTACATTTATTCTAAACAATCCTATAAAATGGGTAATGTTATTCCCAAATGAACAAATGAAAAAATTAATTCTCCTAGCTAGAAGTAGGTGGTAGTGATTAACCTAAATCTATCTGACTCCCGGACCTTCCTTTTTAAAGGTTTATGCTTTAGTTCTGATCCTTTTGAAATACGACATATCATCCTCTTCTCTCAGCATCACTGTCAACAAAGATCTAAGGCTCAGGAGCAGCAAACACGTGAAGCTGCTGCATTCTTCTCACCAGGGGCAGAGCCACTCTACACAAATGTCAGCAAGGCTTATACCGCAGACTGCTTCACTTGAGAGCGCGTGACAGGAATGATTTAGCATAAAAGCAGTCTCCACACCCCAGCTACAAACAAGCCCCACAATGACAAGTGAGAATCTGCCGAACTGTTCAAAGCTTAATTCCATCAGGCTTCAGGAGAAAGGCTGCACACCAGCCCAAGTTCACAGACAAAAGTCTCCTCCTGGATTCTGTCTCCCTCAAATGAAACTCTCCCACACATGTTCAGCAGGCACATGAGCAATATTCATAACTCACCTGACTTCCAGTGGGCTGACTGGAGTCCTAGGCCTAGGAGTTCACGTCCCCTGGCCCCTTGTTCCTTTCACGCCAACTACCCAGTTGGAGCCCGTCCTGCCCCATTCCTTTACGTACCCTGCATCTGTTTTCTAAAACAACTCACAATTGGACCATGATTTGTGCACATAGGTGTAACTGAGAACTTTATCAGGGATATTCCCTTTCAATCAGTGATAGTATCTTCCTCCTATCAGGAATCAGACAGCAGTTTAAAAGCATTCCTAGGCCAGGCACAGTGGCTCATGCCTGTAATCCCAACACTTTCAGAGGCCAAGGCAGGAGAATCACTTGAGCCAGGAGTTCAAGACCACCCTGGGCAACATAGTGAGACTCTGTCTCTACAAAAAATTTTAAAATTAGCCAGGTATGGTGCCTTGCACCTGTAATCCCAGCTACACGGAAGGCTGAGGAAGGAGGATCAATTGAACCCAGGAGGTCGAGGCTGGAGTGAGCCAGTAATTGCGCCACTGCACTCCTGCCTGGGTGACAGAGAAAGATCCTGTCTCAATCAATCAATCAATCAATCAATGCATTCCTAAATCTTCAATGTCTCAACCAGGCCATCCTGGACTCTCTCCCGTGACTGCACTCAGTTATTGCAAAACTAAAGGGAACAATGCAGCAACATGCCATGTTAGAAACCTTGAGAAACAATGAGCCATTTCCACCTACACAAAGTAATAATGCAAAAATCACAGTAGCTCAATTTTCCCCAAAATATTTCCACTGCAACATTAGAAATATGGGTCTTAGATTGGGCGCGGTGGCTCATGCCTGTAATCCCAGCACTTTGGGAGGCCGAGGCAGGCAGATCACCTGAGGTCGGGAGTTCAAGACCAGCCTGACCAACATGGTGAAACCCCATCTCTACTAAAAATACAAAAATTAGCCCAGCGTGGTGGTGCGCACCTGTAATCCAGCTACTCAGGACGCTGAGGCAGTAGAATCACTTGAACCTGGGAGGCGGAGGTTGTGGTGAGCAGAGATCATGCCACTGCACTTCAGCCTGGGCAACAAAGCAAGACTCCGTGTCAAAAAAATAAAAAGAAATATCAGTCCTATCAGATGCCGAGACCAAAGAAGTTTGTCCTCTTTGACTCCAGCTCTCAGACAGTCACAGTGCTGACAGACCCCCCACAAAGACACCCATAAGGAAACCTGTGTAACTCTGCTTAACTCTGCATTTCCCAAAAATCATTTGACCATGGAAGCTTGTTTGTATAACACATTTACATCATGTAAAACAGTGCTGTGTGGGACAACATATTAAAGGAAGCATTATGATAGGCAGTTCCCTAAACATTGTAGTGCAAATGCAAGTCAGTAAAACAAAAAATTACTGTGACCACATCAGAGATGCATTTCAGAAACCAGGGTGTGCAAAGGGGTGGCTGGAGTATGGTCACATTTATTGTCAAAATACACATATTTAATTTGATTATGTCACCTAAAAATAAAAAGAGACAGTGTAAATTACAAGCAATTAAAACAACAAAAGATATTTGTTTTTATTTTATTTTTTTTTTTTTTTTTTGAGACGGAGTCTCGCTCTGTCGCCCAAGCTGGAGTGCAGAGGCCGGATCTCAGCTCACTGCAAGCTCCGCCGCCCAAGTTTACGCCATTCTCCTGCCTCAGCCTCCCGAGTAGCTGGGACTACAGGCGCCTGCCACCTCGCCCGGCTAGTTTTTTGTATTTTTTAGTAGAGACGGGGTTTCACCGTGTTAGCCAGGATGGTCTTGATCTCCTGACCTCGTGATCCGCCCGTCTCGGCCTCCCAAAGTGCTGGGATTACAGGCTTGAGCCACCGCGCCCGGCCAACAAAAGATATTTGTAAATGAAGATAATCTAAAGGATTAAAACTAGGAAGACAAAAGAGAAGACTCAAACTTTATAAAACTATAAAATGTACTGAAAAACAGAGAATAAGCTTTTTTTAAAGTATGTAAAAATGATGGTTTATGCCCATAATACCAGCACTTTGGGAGGCTGAGGCAGGAGGATCACTTGAGCCCAAGAGTTTGAGACCATCCTGGGCAATACAGAGAGAGACCTCATCTCTACCGAATATTTTAAAAAGTAGCCGGGTGTGGTGACACATGCCACAGGCCCCAGCTACTCAGGAGGTGGCTGAGGAGGGAGTTGAGGCTGCAGTGAGCCACGATTGTGACCCTGCACTCCAGCCTAGGAAGCAGAGTAAGATGTCTCAAAAAGAAAAAGATGGCATGTTCATCAAATACTACAAAAAGTGTTTTAGACAAAAAATAGATTATTAGTAAACTTTTAACAACCGTGTCACTGCTGCACTCACCCAGCAAATAGTAAAATGGAATGAAGAATTTCAATCTGAAAGAGTAACCCAGTGTCAGAACAGCACCGTGCTGCACTGGAATCAAAAGTTCTCCAACCAAATGGTGGCTCCACCACGAACCAATTATAGGATCTGATGGTTTCTCAATGGCCTTTCACGGCAAAGCTGTGCCCAGGGTTCGATGCTGCAAACTGGGCCACAAGAGGACTGTGGCTACCTTGAAAGGACCACAGGAAAAGTCCAGTCTTTCACTGAAATTGTTTTCAAGAAAATACATCCTTCCTGGCAGAAATAGAAAAAGCCCTACGGCTTCCCAACAGGACATAAATCCACATATGCCTACCTTATAGGACAGCTGTAAAGACAGGGTTGCAAAACACAAGTAAAAATATTTTGAAAAATTGCTTAACTAAAATTTTCGGGTTTTTTTTCCTAAAATTCAGTGTATTTATTTGGACATATGGATGTTCCTTGTGTTCTTGGTCACATATTAACGGAACTGGCACTTTGGCTGCAGGAACAAATAAAAAACATCATAAATCCAACTGGTCTTTGATTTGGGTCTAGGTTAATAACTCAAGAACCATTCAGCAATAATGGCTTGAAACATTTATATATCCTATGAAACTGCAATTAGTTAAAAGGCTGTTGATTTTAATAACTGTGACACCAGTAAAGAAGTGAGGGGAGAACTGTTAACTCGGGATGCCAAATTCAGAGCAAAGTATCTATTATCTCCTTCTCACTTTTGCAGTATCTATAAATAAAGTGGGGGGGGAGAATTATACGAATAATATTAAATAAAAGTGCATACAGAACTGAGAAATAATTTCATGGAATTTGCCACTTAGTTCAATAAAATGATTGTAAAGAAAATAACCATTTACAGCAAAAGACTAGTTACACTGTTGCTGTTTAGAACATGAGAGCAAAATGAGTAACAATCAAATTCTCTGGTTTAAACTGTATTGTCTTAAAACAGGTTATTCTGTAAATTGACATCTATGCCTTGAAAATTCAAGGCAGAAAGTAAAATCATTTAGAAAGCCAGGAATCCCATCAATACATCCAGACAGATGTTTGTCTGTAGTTTTTGGTATCCAGAACCTTTTTTCCACACGTCGCACAGATGCCTTTTTTGTAAGCACAGCCCTGGCAGTGATGAGAACCTGGTTGGTGCACAGAACTTTTACAAATTCTGCAAGTGGAGAACTTATTCTTTCCATATGGATCAAATCCTGCTTTTTTTGAAGTCAAAGCTTTATTTTCATTCAGCTTTCTCCCACCACTTTCTGTGATATTCCTAGCACCATCTTTCCATGTATCTGGAGTGGTAACAGTACCAAGTTTCTTTTCACATTTTTCGCACACCATCCTCCCCTCCGATGGTTCCCCTGCCCACAACAGCCTAAAATTTTCATTTTAAAAGATAGGGAGATGGTTCAGACCACAGCTTTTTTGAGGGGCATCTCAACGGATTCACAGGCCATTCCACCTCAAAGAGGGCAGTCAGTATCCTGTTCCAAAGAGCACAGCAGGAGGCCGGGCACAGTGGCTCATGCCTGTAATCTCAGCACTTTGGGAGGCAGAGATGGGAGGATCACCTGAGGTCAAGAGTTCAAGACCAGTCTGGGCAATATGGTAAAACCCCATCTCTATAAAAATACAAAAATTAGCCAGGCATGGTGGCACACGCCTGTAATCCCAGCTACTCGGGAGGCTGAGGCACAAGAATCACTTGAACCCAGGAGGCGGAAGTTATAGTAAGCCAAGACTGTACCACTACACTGCAGCCTGGCCGAGAGAGCGAGACTCTGTCTCCGAAAAAAGAAAACAAAAAACAAAGAGTACAAGAGCACAGCAGGAAGTGGAGAGCTCAGTAATAAAGCAGGAATTACAAACTCAGGTGCCCAAAGAGTCAGGAAGGTAACAGCAATTAGTGAAGGCAGCCAGGTGTATATCAAAAATGGTGGGTATGGGGGGTGATGTGTATTTGGAGACAACATACTATCCTGTCTAAAGGAGACAGCCATTACTCAGTCACTGGGAATGCTGCCAGATTTTCTGATTTTTTAAAGCCCCAAATCCCAATTTTATGTGACATTAACCAACTTTTAAAAACATGTGGATCAGGCCGGGCGCAGTAGCTCACGTCTATAATCCCAGCACTTTGGGAGCGCAAGGCAGACGGATCACTTGGGGCCAGTTCTAGACTACCCTGGTCAACATGGTGAAACTCCATCTCTACTAAAAATAAAAAAAAAATTAGCCAGGTATGGTGGTGTGGGCCTATAATCCTAGCTAGTCAGGAGACTGAGACAAGAGAATCACTTGAACCCAGGAGGCGGAGATTGCAGTGAGCCGAGATCACATGGTACTGCATTACAGCCTGGATGACAGAGCGAGACTCCGTCTCAAAAAAAAAAAAGAAAAAAAGAAATGTGGATAAAAGCAAATAAATCTGTGGCCAAATCTGCAAAAAATGTAGCAGGCATTAAAGAGTCCATACTTATTACAGCAATTTTAAAAGAATAAAGGAAGGAGGAGTTTTGGAGACAGGCTATAAATATGAAGTTAGTGGTTTTGAGCTTACTACTTTAAAGTGAATCACATTATTTGTCCAATACTAAACAGCTGTATCAGTTACTCCATAAATGTGTCCAGTAACTGCAGCGAGACTGTACAAGTGGCAGGAACCTAACAGGAATCCACTCTATGCGCATGTTTTCTCTCTCTGTTCCATAACCAATATGCAAATGGCCAAAGAAAAAAAGCAAAATAAAAGCCTGAGCAATCATGAAAACTGAATAACCAGCACCAGGATAAGTGGGATCTAGCACAGTCCTGAACAAAACTGTATAACTTCTTAAGAGGAGTCTCTGTGAGGCAGCAGAATGGCAGGGAGGGTCTGCTAGAACTTAGCCATTCGCCAGGCACAGGTGACAATTCTGTGAAGTGCACCAAAGATGGCCTGATAATGCATTCTGCTTTGTCCACCAAGTGGAATAGCTATAGTCACTTGCCCATAAACCTGAGAAACTGCTATAATATCAACACGGAGACTGTGAAAGAAGCCCTGGATGACTACGGAAACACTTCCAACCGAGCACACAAAACGTGTGTTCTTCACTCTGGCAATATTTTAGGGGCTGCTTTCTCTTTTGTTGTACATAAAAGCATAGTTGGCTACAGAAAAATTGATAAACTGACATATATGATTATTACTAATATTTGTATGGTACTTTCCATATAATAGAAGAGAAAAAGTCTATATGAATCTTGTTCCCCAAAATTAGGTTAAAACCACTAACCTGTCACTCTCTTAAGTCTTTCCACATCTTCACAGTTATCACTCTATATTCCACCCTCAACAACATCATTCCCATTTCCTGCTGTCACCCTCAGCACCTTCAATATTATCCTCATGGGGCTGATTTCCTAACAAAGCTAGGAGCCCCCATCTTCCTCTTGAGTTTCAGTGCCACAGAGCCAACTCCAAACCGGGCCAATAACGACCAACAAAAATTTTTGAAATGCAGGAATTCACAGGGGGAACCACCACTTCATTAGAAAATCCAATTATTAAAAAAAGAAGATCTGCTACCTGGATTCTGTAAGAATCTGAGAAAATACTGAAAGAACCTGTTAAAGATTCTCAAGTTTCCAGGTCTACCCCGTAACTCAAATGAAGTCATCAAAAAGAATATACAAATGGACAGGACTACAGTCTTTCTTCCACTACAAAAATGCCCATCACCAAGTTACATTTAGATGTGCTCTTGGTCTTTCCAAGGGCTGACATAGTTAGCACCCAATTAAATTACCTATCTCAAAGCTTGCTAACTGTAGAGCTGGGGACATGTCTTCTACCTAACAACATGGCATGCTCCACCATCTCCACACAGAATAACTGGAAAGAAACAAGAGGTGGCATAACCATCATGCTAGGAAAACAAAAGCAAAACACCATCTCATTTTACAGATGAAAGGAAGGTGCCCAGTCAGTAACTTACAGGACTCCTTGTTTGAAAATCAGAACCAAGGGCTGGACACGGTGACTCATGCCTGTAACCCCAGCGCTTTGGGAGGCCGAAGGGGAGGGCAGATCACAACATCAGGAGTTTGAGACCAGCCTGGCCAATATGGTGAAACCTCGTCTCTACTAAAAATACAAAAATTAGCCAGGCATGGTGGCAGACGCCTGTCGTTCCAACTACTAGGGAGGCTGAGGCAGGAGAATCACTTGAACCCAGGAGGCAGAGGGTGCAGTGAGCCGAGATTGAGTCACTGCACTCCAGCCTGGGTGACAAAGCAAGACTCTGTCTCAAAAAAAAAAAAAGAAAGAAAAAGAGAAAATTAGAACACAGGCCAAAGTGCAGTGGCTCATGCCTGTAATCCTAGCATTTCAGGAGGCCAAGGCAGGCAGATCACTTGAGCCCAGCAGATCAAGACCAGCCAAGACAACATAGCAAAACCCCATTTCTATAAAATATACAATAATCAGGTGGGCATGGTGGCACACGCCTGTAGTCCTAGCTACTCAGGAGGCTGAGGTGGGAAGAGCACCTAAGCCTGGGAGGTCAAGGCTGCAGTAAGCCATGACTGTGCCAGTGCACTCCAGCCTGGGTGACAGAGGGAGACCCTGTCAAAAAAAAAAAAGGAAACTAGAACAGAGCAGTTAGTCTCCTCAACAGCAAATGTATTGTCTGCCCAGTACATCATAACTCTTTGTAAACAATCCCTTCATAAATACTGGTATTGGTCTCATTTTTATATTTCAGCATTGTGACACGGCATTTCTCATTAACACATTACTGTGCAGCTTTTTTTTTTTTCTTTCATTTTTTAGCGAGGAAGGGAGGGATGGAGTCTCACTCTCTCAGCCAGGCTGGAGTGCAATGGCATGATCTCTGCTCACTGCAACCTCCACCTCCTGGGTTCAAGCAATTCTCCTGCCCTCAGCCTCCTGAGTAGCTGGGATTATAGGCACATGCCACCAGACCCAGCTAATTTCTGTTTGTTTTAGTAGGACAGGGTTTCACCATGTTGGCCAGGCTGATCTCCTGACCTCAAGTGATCCTCCTGTCTCGGCCTCCCAAAGTGCTGAGATTATAGGCACAAGCCACTGTGCCCGGCCACATTTCTTAATTTTTTCTTTTTTTTTTTT